CTATTAGGTTGGAGGCCATCGCTATTAAAGGTTGGAAGCCATCGCTATTAAAGGTTGGAAGCCATCGCTAGTAGGTTGGAGGCCATCGCTAGTAGGTTGGAGGCCATTGCTTTTGGGTTGGAGGCCATCGGTTTTTTTAAAAGGAGCCTGTGATGCCGAACGTGAGTTGCCCGTGTGCCGTGGTTGCACTTGAAACCCTGAGAAGGACTTTGGCACATTTTAGCACTATTCGATGACCTCACATGCTAGAACCGGCCAATATGCTCAAACAGATGAAGTCCTTTCACTGAAAGGTTGGCACACAAGTTCGTGTTTTTGTTTACTGTACCAAAGTGCTCAGCTAAGAACCCAGCTATGCTCCTTAGCCGTGGCACTCCAGCAGTTCATGGAGACAGCAGTCCACGAAGACGGACCTGCAACTGGAAGAACAACGCATGCAGTCGCTCGGAGCTTTAACGTGGATGTCCACCTATAGCCCCTGCCGAGCGAAATTATTTTGAGGTGACCGTCTCGTCTCCAAATATTTTTTTGAAATAATATCAATAAAGTATTATTTGGAAAGGCATGTAGGTGGTGGGTCAAAATAATATCTACCATGTAGAAAAAATATGGTATGGCATGTTGCAAAATAAGAAAATATTATTTTGATATATGGTTTCCAAATTATTTTTAGCACTGAATGACATAGAATAACAATAACCCGTGGAAGAAGGTATGATGCAGGGTTTATTGGAAATTATTTGGCAGGTGGAGGGGTACGTGTGCCAGAGCAAAAATAATTTGATGTGCTTGTCCACAGAGCTGAGACAATCAAGATATAAAATATATACCACACAGCATGATAAGATAGGGGGGGGAGGTGGTATAGACCACCCACCTAAGTGGGCAGATATATGGGGACAGCTCCTAGGAAAGTGTTCAGTAACAGCAAACGTAGGTGGTGCAAGCGCAACCGCCTACAAAAAATAATCGCGCCCTTTTTTCTGCCATTCTCTCTCGGTTTCTCTGTCAGACCGTGAACGTCTGACTCCCACATCAATCAGCTATGCTTTGCCACCAAGTCATCGTTTGTCGCGCTGCAATCAGTTTGAACTAGCCAAGGCACACCTGATCCAAAACTCTGGTAGCCAAAGCAGCCGGCTTCACACTCTCATCAAATTCTCGCTGGGATCCATCCTATCAGGGGGCTACCTTTATTTGGGATCCATCCATTCGAGCACAAACATAATATTATTTGGCAGGTGGGCTACCTGTCATCTACCCCCAAAATAAATAGTTACTTGAATATTACTAATGATGTCTGTGGGGTAAGCCTTGCCCCCCTTACTGGTTCCTTCTACTAAACTCCTCAATGTTTTCAACCTTTTCCATATAATATTTTCCATGGAATAAGTGGCAAATACTGGCAACATTCCCCCCACCTTATTTATTATTTAACAGGTCGTTTAGGGGGTACCCCACCCATGCAATAATTTTATGGACCATATCACGCTATCCACACATTCCAGTCAATCAGTCGATCTACTAATTATTTCAGAGGTCCCTTAGGCCAGCCCCACCCCTGAAATACGGCGATTGTTTGACCTGCCTTGGACAGAGATCTTGCTTGTCCTCAATATTTTCCATATATTCTCCCGGATCGGCTGCCCCATCAAGGCAAAAAGACTGGACAGACGTTCACGGTACCACAGAGAAACCGAGAGAGAATGGCAGAAAAGAGGGCGCGATTATTATTTTGTAGGTGGTTGCGCTTGAACCACCTACGATTGCTGTTACTGCACACTTTCCTAGGAGCTGTCCCCATATATCTACCCACTTAGGTGGGTGGTCTATACCACCCCCCCTATCTTATCATGCTGTGTGGTTTATTATTTCTGAACTATATTACCTCCACAATAATTCTATGCTCAGGTGGGTACACCCACCTAAAAATAATAACTTTGTTATTTTGAGGTGGGTGGGAGGGAGGGTGGTCAGCTGGCAGCCCCTATGTCCACCTGAACCTTCCATACACAGTTATGAAAACGACATCAACCCCAGAGGTGACATTCGCCACTGCTCTGGTTCATTTCGGCATGGGCATAGCCCCTGGTGGATTCAGTCGGCAGAAGCAAAAGACCCAACAGCCGTGTTGACCCAACAGCTGTGCCTTGAAGCCGTGGACGGTGACAAAGCCTTCACTCCCAACTCAGCTTCTTGTTCCTAGTGGTATACGGCACCTTGTTACTAGTAGCGATGCCCCTGTCAAGCCCGTGTTGCCAAGTCTTCTCAGCTGTCTCAGCTCACTCGGCTGAGGTGGTTTTCGACACGTGCCTTTTAGCCATTGCTGCTGGCCACATTTTCTCGGTCTTGGCGGTGGTCTCGCTCCCCCAGGCCGGAGGACGAAGGAGATCGGACGTCCCGACCGTGACGAAGGAGCAAAAGCAATGGTGGGCCATTGCGAGGATTAGAGGCCCATTGTTGTAGGATGTAAGTAGGGGCTCCTGGCCTTACTACTAGGAGCGATCGGACGCTACGAACGGAGCAAGGGCGCTAGTAGTACGATGTAGGCCAACACTGGGAGTTTGATGGGAGTCCCACTCCCACCTGACACAGAGCTGTCTGTCGCAGGTGGCCAATCCGGAAGCTCCGACAGTGCCATCCTCGGCAGCCCTTCGGTTCAAGGCTGCTGAGATCCATGTTGCTTTGAGCACTGGGGCGTCTCGGCTGTGGTTCAAGGCAACGTGCTACATTCGTAGCTCAGGAGCTACGAATGTAGTAGCAATGCCCTTGTTACTAGTAGCGATGGCCTCCAACCTAATAGCAGTGGCAACTGAGAGCGATGGCCTCCAATCTAGTGGTAATGCGCTTGTTACTTGTTACTAGTAACTAGTAGCGATGCACTTGATACTAGTAGCTTCTTGCCGCTAGATGTTGCTGAAAATTGGAGTTCTCTCTGATATTTCATCACATGTCGATTGATTCATGTTGCGCTGTGAGGAGCTGGGTGAGGAGATCAAGAAGTTGGCAACCCATTCTGCAGAATCAAGAGGTGAGAAGGCGCGGCTGGGGGACTTTGGAGTCCAAATGTGCTGGCTAAAGTTTAGAACGTCCCAGAAGGACTCCAAACACACATGCAGATTGATTGACTCTTGTTGAGTTGGCCAAAGCCATATTTCAAGACTCTTGACCTTCAATTCATTCAACATTGGATCCAAGCTGGATGGTGCCGCCATGACTTCTGCCCCACAGGTGTCAGACTACACCCTTTCGTCCTGCTTGACTGAAGAGGCAGCCGCCTTGCGCCTTCCTTTGGAGATGGCAAGTCCAACCCTCAGGATACTCAAACCGTATATATAATGCACAATATCGACTTTAACAACAGACTTTAAGGAACCTAATAGCGATGGGTTTAAGGAACCTAAAAGCGACGGCCTCCAACCTAAGAGCGATGGCCTCCAACCTAAGAGCTATGGCCTCCAACCTAAGAGCGATGGCCTCCAACCTAAGAGCGATGGCTTCCATCCTAAGAGCTATGGCATCCAATAAGAGCTATGGCCTCCAACCTAAGAGCGATGGCCTCCAACCTAAGAGCGATGGCTTCCAACCTAAGAGCTATGGCATCCAACCTAAGAGCGATGGCCTCCAACCTACGAGCTATGGCCTCCAACCTAAGAGCGATGGCCTCCAACCTAAGAGCGATGCCCTCCAACCTAAGAGCGATGGCCTCCAACCTAAGAGCGATGGCCTCCAACCTAAGAGCGATGGCCTCCAACCTA